ACACACACACACACACACACACACACACACACCATCATCCATGGCTTCATCCCTCCATCTCTCCCTGCAGCCATCACAGATGAGACTCTGAGCTTCGTGGCTCGGAGCCGGCGCCTCCTGGTGGTGGTCAGTCCGGGCTACGCCTCGCAGGGCTCCCAGGCTCTGCTGGAGCTGAAGGCCGGCATCGACGGCATGGCACTGGGTGGACACCTGCGGGTCATCCTGGTCCAGTACAAACCGGTCCAGAGGCAGGTTTGGGTCAGGGAGCTGAGGAGGGCCCGGGTGGCTCTGGCGCTGGTCCGATGGCAGGGGGACAAGTCCAAAGAACTGACGTCCCGTTTCTGGAAGCGGCTGAGGGTGGAGCTGCCTGTCAGGAGGGTCAGCAGCAGGGAGGAGGGGCTTCTCATGAGGCTCCACAGTCAGAACAGCACAAACTCCCAAACTGGACTCCTCAGCAGCACCAACGACCCGCTGAAGCTTTTTAACTCTGGAGTGTAGCAGCGCCCCCTGTAGGGTGCACAGCTCCCTGTAGGGTGCACAGCTCCCTGTAGGGTGCACAGCTCCCTGTAGGGTGCACAGCCCCCTGTAGGGTGCACAGCTCCCTGTAGGGTGCAGAGCCCCCTGTAGGGTGCACAGCTCCCTGTAGGGTGCAGAGCCCCCTGTAGGGTGCACAGCTCCCTGTAGGGTGCAGCGCCCCCTGTAGGGTGCACAGCTCCCTGTAGGGTGCAGCGCCCCCTGTAGGGTGCACAGCTCCCTGTAGGGTGCAGAGCTCCCTGTAGGGTGCAGCAGGGTGCAGCGCCCCCTGTAGGGTGCAGAACTGTCCTAAAGGAGCCTTAAAGCTGGACTGTTGGAGCCACAACAGAACCACTGACTTTGTTCTTTGAAATTCAAGGGTTTTCATCTAAAATCTAAGATTTTTACAAACGTATCAGTTCTGTTTTCCTTCAGGCAGAAGCTGCTGGAGGAGCTGAACTTCATCCAAACCTAGTTCTGAAAACAGTTTAGAAAATAAACATGAAAACAGAATGAAGTGGTTTATAAATCCTGTCAATTCTTTTTATTCACAACAAGAAACATTTCAGACGTTTCAATTAAGAAACAACAGAAATAAAATCATCTAATCAAACTTCCCAAATACAGATTTACAGAATTATGTAGTTCTGTGGATGGATGGATGGATGGTGGATGATGGATGGATGGATGGATGATGGTTGGATGA